TAAGAAACGATTTTCGGCTTTCGCAACTTATAAGAAACGATTTATCATTTTGCGACTTATAAGAAACCATTTTCGCTTCTGCAAAATAAAAGAAACGATTTTCGGCATCTGCACCTTATAAGAAACGATTTTCGGTTTCTACAATGATAAACTTTTAAGAAACGATTTTCGATGTTTGAAACTTGTTAAGAACAATTTTCGCATCACAAACCATGTTTTGCATCTCATAAGAAATGATTTTCGACTTCTGAAACATATTGGGATCGGTTTCCGATTTATGAAACTTTTTGGGAACGGGTTTCAGCGTATGCAACTTATAAGAAGCTATTTCCGGCTTCTGCAACTTTACAGAAACGATTTTCGGCTTTTATAAGCTACAATTTGTGACTTCTGCGACTTCTAACTAACGATTTTCGACTTTTGAAACTTGCCAGGAGCGATTTTAGTACCTAATAAGAAACCATGTTTTGCTGATTGGAAACCATTTCCGGCTTCTGCAACTTATAAGAAACAATTTTCGACATCCCCGAGTCTTATTGGGGGCAATTTTCGACTTCTGCAGTTATAAGAAACGATTTTCGATTTTTGCAACTTATAAGAAACGAAATCTGAAATTCATTGGGAACGATTTTCAGCTCCTGTTTTTATATGAATCGATTTTCGACTCCGGCAAGTTATAAAATACGATTTTTGGCATTCGAAACATGAGTAAAAGAAACACTTTTCGGCTTCTGAAACTTATAAGTGATTTTCGGTTTCTGAAACTTATAAGAAGTGATTTTCGGCTTCTGCAACTTATAAGAAGTGATTTTCGGTTTCTGCAACTTATAAGAAACGGCTTTCGATTTCTGTAACTTTTAACAACCGATTTTCGAAAACACGCCCTTCTCAGATTTGCATGCAATTTTGCATAATTGTTTGTTATGGATGGGCAATGATTCACATTTTTGCTAAAATAAGGTCATTTAGGATCTTACAATTATAGATTTTAAAAAGCGTCCTTAACTTTAAAAAAAATAAAATATTAAAGACGTAGTCCTGCGTCAAAATTGATCAAAAGTTTTTGTTCTACGATTTCCAAAATCGGATAAGGACATTTTGAGATAATTGGGTTTATAACAGTTTTTTTTTTAATTTTTACTTAAAATTAAATTAAAAAAAGAATGCCATTATTTTTCGACAGAAAAAAGCTGTTTCAGTGCTAATTTTTTTCAAGCCATGAAACTGAAGTGAGAAATTAGCATCTGCACTGCAAATACAATTCACGTAATATTCACCTGAAAAGGTGCGTAGATATTTTCCATCGTACTTTTCAGGTGAATATTACGTGTTTTGGGAATGAAATGCTGTTTCAAGTGATTCATATGAAAATCAAGTGATTTTCACGTAAATTTCATCGGCCGTTCCGATGATCGTCAAATTAGCTTCCTTAAAAGTTACGTGAATTGTTTAGTAATCGTCACTAGTAATATGTATGTGAATTTGTGGTATGTTTCATGTGTTTTAAAACAGTGGTATTGCATTATTTTATCCGCATTTTTTAAATAAAATTTAACTTATTTGTTCAATTTTTACTTTATTATAATAAATGCTTTTTAGTAACTATCATGTGTATTAAACTTATTCTTAATTCTATACCCTGTTGCACTGGTTGTTGTTCAGTTGATTGTTTTGCATTTGTTTGCTCCACAATGCTCTATAAAAATTGCTGCTTCTGAATAAACCTAAAGTTGGTTATTGGTTTATTTAAAACATTAAGTTTGATCCTTACATTTATTTTCCTCCAACAACTGATGACTTCGAAAAGGACATCATGTCTCCAATAGACGTCTTTTTTGTTGTAAGCACTCCTGTAGTTCGGCCATTAAGCTTGTGAGGACTGCTCAATCCGATTTTACACTCTTCAATTTATTTTGAGTATTGAAAATCAGGATTCATATAGTGATATTAATCAAACTTACGCTCATAAATATTAAAAATCCCCAATCTCCTAGTAACAAAAATCGCATATTTTCATCTGCCGCCATTTTGAACTAACAAATACGCAGACAGTTTTCACATCATGAGGTCACTTAAAATTTACGTGAACTTCACTTAACATTTATCTGTATAACACTTGAACTCCATCAGTCAATCTAGTGGAATTCATTACCATGCCATTGATATTTATGTGCAGCATGTAATTCTGATTGGATTTCTATTTTAGAAAGGTTACCTGATTTTTCAGGTGAAATTTACGTTTCTCGTTAGTTCAGTGTGCAACTGATTAGGGGCTGTTCATAAACTACGTATACAATTTTTTGGGATTAAATTTGTATGGGCCGGGGATAATTGTCAACCCCCCCCCCCCCCCTAAACTGTCTACGTAGTTTATGAACAGCCCCTTAGGAGTGTGTTTTGGCTCCTGAAATATGTAAGTAACCACTCCGGTCTGATTGGAGATCATGGCGCAATTGCTTTTGTAAAAAATGACTTGAATCCCCGATTTGTCGTGAATAAAAGCTCACTCTCACAAACTAGAGGAACCAATCCCCTAGCTGCTTGTGTTGTTTGAGATTTTATTCGCGAGAAATCGATGATTGATGTAAATTGTTTACAAAACCAATTGCGCTCTGATCTCCAATCAGTCCGTAATTTTCAGTTTCTGTAACTTCAAAGAATCGGTTTTCAGCTTCTGAATCTACTGAATTTCGACTACTGCAACACATATCAAACGATTTTCAGCCGATTAGCATACGACTGCTTAGCAGGAATATGCTAAGCTCTACTCTTAATTCTTAAGAACGTGAAACAAGCCTTTATTTAGCCCCTCCCTAATTCAAGTTTTCCAGTAATGTAGATACAGATATACATCAAAGCTTACTTTTTCCCGGCAAATTCCGAATTAATTCTGCAAATCTGGCAGCACTTACCGCCACATCCATCGATCCCGAGACCTGTTCTAACCCGTCGATTGAAACGTGTCAAATTATGGTCGTCCGCTACCTTGGTTCGATTCGCTCACACATGTACGGAACTCGAACCGCCGGGGGTTGGTCGGTTCTCAGCCGGCGCTTGCCAGAAGGTGCGTGCGGCAACAACGGCGGAGGTCGTCTAAAAATATCAAGTGGTTAAATCAGTTAATAAACACGCGAAAAATCTACCTCTCGCTCGCTCGCGGGCTGTGTCTGCGAATTCTTAAGAAAGAGCATGCGGTCGGTCGCGGGGAAACATGTAAACACAACGGTCAACTACCAGAGCAGCAGGACTAACAATAACTGCCCGGACGGACTCGAGCGGTGTGATTTTTCCCACCAGACCACCGGTTGGCAAATAATCATCAAGGGGGTGGGTGGCACATGGTGGTGATGATGGAAAAGAGTTCTCCGAATGGATGTTTTGATCCAATTCTTAGACGATGTTATCCCATTCAACTAAAAAGAAAGCGACACGTGTCCACAGTTCAAATGGAAACATGACTAGTTGGGAATCATTTATCGCTTGAACCAAAAATTGCTGTCTTCTTCAGATGGGTTCAAATTGTCCATCGCGTGACTACGGCAACTCCACGATGGCATTGAAACAACGATGAAATCAATCAGATAAGCAAAACATGATCTTATTTGCATTCCATCCGACTGTCCTTCGTCTGCAAATTTAAATTCAATCCAACTGAAGCACGAGAGGTCGCGTAGGGCAAATGGCTCAAAAAACGAAAAATCAAACATCCAAAGTTGTCATATTTGACCGGTTGTATCAATTCCCAATCAGTACCTTATTATCGATTTCCGTTTTTTTGTTTTGCTCTGTGGCAGACGGCAGTTGACGACAGGCACCCAAAATTGAGCATTCTTGTGGTTTTGCTTCGAATTGCAAAAATTGGCGACGAGCACACAACCATCATGGAGGCGGCGTTCAAGTCTTTTGTCAATGTCGTTGGTGTGGGAACCGACAGGGCGATGTAGACAACAAGAACATCATGGAAACTGATGAAATTCATTTGATTATGTCTATCAGCGGCTGAAATTGCAATCTCGTGACGCCGCCGAGGACAAGCGAAGCAATTGCCATTAGAGAGTAGTGTGGAACAAGTTTGACATTTAGAGGAGTAGGTCGATAGAAATAGCATTTGTGGCGTCCGACCGTCCGCCGCCGTCGTCGTCGCCTTCAAGTACTGACTGGAGAAAATGTGATGGAATTTTAGTCCGTAATTTTGTTTTTCGTGGAAAAAGAAAATTATACGGAAAGTCTATTATCGCGTTTCTGCTTTGCCAAGTCAAGCACTTAGGTGAGGTGAAAAACTTATCCGTTTAGCGCACTGAGGATTAATTTGACCTTTTTTGCCGTAGTGCTGAGAAGTAGCCTTGAAAATTTATACCTACCGTTAATGAATTCCCCGGCGATCTGAACGGTGCACGCGAGTATTTAATTAAAAGTTTTTCCAGTTGGCTTCCAGTGTTGGATGAAACGTGGACTGTATGGGAAGTAGTGGGTGCACGTTCAGGCCCACGTTTTCCTAAATACAGGTTGACATGCCTCTGTTGTCTCTTCCAACTAAAATATAAATGGTTGCATAAGGAATTTAATGTTTTAAAACTAAGTCAATCTGGCAACACTGCTGTGGACCATCAAATTTCCCATCATCAACGCGTGTCGTGCAAATAAATCCCGTGTAGATGAATGAGTTCACCGAAGAAAACCGCATTCGGCGCGATGGAAATAACCACAATAATGCCGCCCAGTGGCGGCCAGCGGCAATTTCATCGTTGATGTGAAACAGAAGAGTCGTAAAACAATCTCGAATGGAGGAAATTTTACGATCAGAAATTAATATTCCCCGGTTCGTTTTTGTCACGTTTATTTAGTTATACCTCCCCCGCCTACAGCCAAGCCAGCTGCGGCAAACCACAGAACCCAATCGATTTGATTCCCTTCTTCCTTGCGCCATGTGTTGTACTGAAACTCCTTTAAAAAAGCAACAACTAAATACTGATCAATTTCTCTCATTATTCCACCCGCAGGCAACGGCACGATCGATTTCCCCGAGTTTCTGACCATGATGGCTCGCAAAATGAAGGATACCGATAGCGAAGAGGAAATCCGGGAGGCGTTCCGAGTCTTCGACAAGGACGGCAACGGTTTCATCTCGGCAGCTGAGCTGCGTCATGTCATGACCAATCTCGGCGAGAAGCTAACGGACGAGGAAGTGGATGAGATGATCCGTGAAGCCGACATAGATGGCGATGGCCAAGTTAATTATGAAGGTAGGTGTTCCTTCTTTCCGATTGGTTTACTTGCGATGATATGCCACCCAGACAGCGCCCAGACAGTAGGTAGTGGTCCGAAAAACGAAAAAAAGAACCGCCAATTAGGTAATCCGATTCCTTCGCATATTTATTATAGTTTGCATCGGCGCATGATGCATCACCCCCGCATAATTAGCGATAACCATAAAAAGTCTAACCGATATGACATTGATGAGTCACCGGCGGCGGGGGGAACTCGCAATCGCTGATCGCAGAAGCTTGGGAAGCTAAAAATATCCCTTCGTCATGACACAGCCGCAACAACGCCGCCGCGCATTTCGATTGAGCCGTATTTCATTCTCAAGAGTTGTGGGTAGGGTACGGTGGGGCGAAATGGGGGTCAGCTAGAACATTTATTAATGCATAGGTTTGTCAAAATCAACAGGTTCAGTGCAACCCCAATGAAGGTTTGCTTTTTCAAACCAGCATTGGACCTATATTGAGTCTGTTGATGTTTACAATCAAACAAATAAATAAATCATGCCCCACCTTACCCTACCTGCCTAGTCAGATGAGAAAAATTCCTGGCATTTTCGTTCATTTGTCGTTTGAAAGAATTAAGAAAAAAAGAAGACTGCATTTTTCCCTTTAATAGCCGCGTTCAAGCCAAACGCCGGTTCCGGTGTCTCATCTTTCGGTTTGTCACCGCAGCTCAGTTTCGTATGTGGCTGAACTCGCGGGGCGCAATTCTTACCCCGGGGACAGGCGATCGTAGGTGGGAAGATACTTAGACTGGTTGCAATGGAAAATGATGTTGGGAATGAATTTTAACTAAACTACCCAGAACATCCTTGAATTTTTAAATTGATCTCGTTCCTCTTCCATTTTAGTTAAACGGTGATATGCTGAGCCGCTGAGCACTTTATTGTAACTTCAATAGTCATCAGTTTTCGGATTAACGGTTTTTTTTTACCAAAGTCAGAGCTGATTGAATCCAAAATCAATTCAGGATTGTCAACCTTCTTACGACTAGTACGCTTTCCATTGCCAAAGCGCGTTCCATCTCGGACACGGAACTGGAAACTACTTCGATACATTGAACCAGGTGTGGGATGCGAAAAACGCTGACCAGCTTGTAGCATGGTGCCAAGGCATATATCCGGGCCTGGACGCCCTGAAGAAACTGGGGGTCATTGCCGTCACTTCTGGTAACCACTTCTGGAAGCATCATGTCCTTGAAAAAGTCCAGTCGCTTTCTGAACTACGCTTGGATCGATAACTCACTTTCGGCGAAACAGTTTCTAGCAAGGTGAAGACCTTACTTACCAATCAGGCTCCTCTGCTTTCCGAATAAGTTCATGGTCGCCTCTTCTTCTTGTTCCTGTTGGGTCGCTTTCGAGAACAATTTTCACTGGGCCGTCCTCCGGCATTCGATGAATGGTTCTCCCAGCAGCTGGTGCAATTCATGGCTCATTCGCCTCCTCCACGTTCAGTCATCCATCTGCACTCCACCGTAGATGGTACGCAAAACCTTCCGTTTGAATACACCAAGAGCGCCGCGTTGGTCTGATCAGCGTCTTGTAGATAGTCAACTTCGTGCGGCGGCGAATTTTATTCGACCGGAGCGTCCCACAGAGGAGTAACTGGAACAAAAACCTGGCCAAAATTATATTCACTGGTTTTGAGCAATTTTCTGCGAATATATATTAAAATATTTAATAATAATAGGTTTTTAGACTTCTGTTAGCTTTAAATTTTATAATCCATCTACTTAGCAGTGCATATCTGGCCTTTCATCTTCCATACGAATAAAAAAGTAATGGGTTTTGAAAGCAGGATTTTTTTATTCTTCTGCTTAATATAAGGATTATTTAACAAAAAAATAAAGAATTTATCCAAGAATCATTGCCCTGAAATAAAAAAATAATAATAAATAACGAAAGTTTTAATAGCATAAATTGCGATTTATTACGTTCGATTAGTTAGAATCTTCGTCTGAGTCGCTGCGAGCTTCGTCCTCTGCAGTATTTTGTCCACCTACGATGGCATCCACTTTGAGCATTTCCTGGGTTTCAATGCTGAACGGCTTGCTTTTTCTGATAGGATTCTTACGACTTGAACTCGAAAAGGGATCCGAACTTATAGCGAATTCGTTTATTATCGGGGTTGGAACCAGTTCCAACCCAGTGCGAAACCGAACTTTTTGTCAGTGCGAACCTCAACCTGAGCTGGGTTTTAAAAACAAACGATCAAACTGACGTTTGTCAGAAAACAAGCAGACCCAATCTTGATACCCGATCCAGGTTGGAACTGAATAATAAACGAATTCGCTATTAGTAACAACCTATTCAGAATGTCTCGGTTGCATGTTGTTCTCGAGAACTTTATTGAGAAGTGTTGTCGGCAGGCTATACATTTTCGAGGGAAACTTTACAAATTTTACCCATTTTTGATTAATTATGAAGATCAAAGATCAAGCAAACGTTTCAGCAAAATAATGCAGCTGAATTTTTCAGTAATTCCAACTTCTGTCAAAATGACAACCTTTTACTGAAAATCAGCAATATTTCTTTACTGATCTTTCAGCAATTCAAAATTCTGACATTTGGCAGCATTGTGCTGATTAAACTATTAAATTCAGTAAATTTAATTTTTTTTTTCACTATATGAGCTTCCAGCTTCTGTAAAAGATCGTTGATACAAATATACGAATAATAAAAATAAAATCGCCAGACTCTTTTCCAAGTATCATTTATTAAATATAACCCGTGTCCGAGCCAGTGCCCTTACCTACATAATTTTATTTATTTGTAGTTTTTTTTTTTACCTCTTCCTCCTCCTGCGGTTTGAACGGTGGTGTACGAATGCAAAAATACTTGCGACTGTGATACTTACAGTTTGACAGCTCTTTGACTAGCTGTTAGTTTATGTTAGCTGATTTTATCGGTAAAAATATCGTTTGCTGTTTTTCAGTAAAGCATTGGATTGCTGATCATGATCCAGTAATTCGTTTTACTGATAATAAAAACTTAAATTTGGTGTGTATGTGTATGTAAAATGGAATGGGTAAATGTGTGTGCGTGTATGAGAGAGTATTACAACCAAATGGCACTCGTTAATTTTCAAAATTTACAGTATCTACCTGAAAAGTGAAATACTTTATGGGGTAAACGGTCATTGAATTACAAGGCAAAGAAACCTTACTCTTGCTACACACACAAATTATAAAAATAAACTAATGACACATGGTTTTTCTAGCGTTACACTCCTTTATGCTAGTACATCAATTGAGGTACTAGATTTAAACAACTTAGCAACATTAGTAAAATGATGCTGGCCATGAGTATCAAACCGGGAGTAGTTTACTGAAGTGTAATTTTAATCTAGTACCACAATTGATGTAATAGATTAAAGAAGGACAGAAGTAGTACTCGGTAGGTTTGTTATAGGTATCTGCAGAAAACCGTTGTGTTACGGAAGTTTTCTGGAAGTATGACCTTATAAAGGGATAAAATTTTGCTACGAAATGATGCAAAACATGCCATTTTCAAATGGCTCGCAATCGCCAATCCGGACGACTCCGGACGAGATTCCAATGCCAATGTGTTCATAATAACGTGAACTTTCATTCGGCCATAGATTATATGATCTGATCGCGCAAGATTCTACATCTTTTTCAAGTCTGAAACAACACAAAAAAACATTTTTTTTACATTTTTTTCATATTGTTGAAAAAATATGACACTATTTAAATTTAAAGGTTTTTATCTCATAACTTGTTAGAAAAGAGTCCAAAGTACCCATTTTATTATAACACTTGTCTCTTGATCAAATTGTTTATATCTGGTAGGCGTAATTATTTCATGGCTACTTTTTGGAAAACAAGAAGCTTCGAATTTCTTCAGTTTTTGAACACGTCTCAAAATTTGTAAACAAAATGTAACGTTTTTATTCCGTTGCCACTTTATGCTGCATATATTGAAATATATAAAAAAAATATAGAAGCATGAAAAATCAAGAAAATCTTGTTTTCTTATTTTGGCCAGGTTTTTGTACCAGTTACTCCTCTGTGCGTCCTCCAGAGTCCAAAGTAGGCACGATTTCCAGCCATAATACGTCTTTGAATTTCTCTGTTGGTATCATTTTCGGTGGTCACCAGTCACCGGCGGTCGTCATCGTCAATCTGAACTCGGAGTGGGAGGCTAACATTGTGTTCCCTAGAACCTCTTCCTCATCATGTATTTCATCTTCAATGCGTTGCTGACAAGTCCAATCCGCCTAGCTTCAGTCTTCAGTCTGATGTACGTTTCCGCCATCGTCTCAAAGTTTCGTGCCATGATGTCGATGTCATCAACGAAGCCAAGAAGCTGGATGGACGTACTGATAATCGTGCCACTCTTGTCTATCACTAGTCTTCTGATCACACCTTCTAACGCGATGTTAAATAGCAGACACGAAAGTCCATCACCTTGTCGTAGCCGAGGCCGTAACCTTCGAGATTCAATACTCGAACAACGCACATCACTCGATCCATCGTCACCTTGTAAAGAAGAACTTCCGAATAAGAATCGGGCTCACCCAGCGAGCATGCCATCCATCCGGATGTGTATGTTTCCTAAGCAACGATGGAATCAAAGATAAAATTAAATAAATGAACCGAGAAAAAAACCAGGAATTCGAAATCACCAGGAAAAACCGGAAAAAGCCGGGAATTTCAATGCCAAATCGGGAAAAATATGCTTCGTCCGTCCTCTCTTCGAAACAAAAATAAGATTTTGAACTTTGAACAAAATTCGTTCACCTTAAAGAGAAATTTAGACTAGACTAGATTTTCAACATACAGTCACTTCGCAGAATCATTAGGAGAATTTTAGGTTTTTTTTTTCAAAGAAATTTTGAGCAGATGTTGGAATGAATCCACCTTGGTGTATTTCAGAGAAATTGTTCTAGGAAATTTTGGATGAGGTCTACACACTTAGATTTTTTTTGCCGAGATTGGCACCACCCCGAGCAGGCTC